CGCAGCCTATCGCACACTTTAAAACGAACGTTTGCACCATAGCAATCACAGGATAGCCCGGGGCGCCAAATCGCACCCTGCCGGGCGCCAGCGGACGCGCCTTATTCAATATATTGAATTAATATAGTACCCCATCTTATCCGCAATTGGAAAGACAAAAGTTAGCATTGAGGACATTTAGGAGCGGCTTCTAGATTGTTATTGATTAAACAAATTAATTAGTAAACAGTGCATGCAATGTATAAAATAAATTAAAGGCAGTATTTAAAATATCCGTGATTTACCTACCACATAGCTCTTTCTCAGCTCATGCTAATTATATAATTATAGTTTTCCAAAATAAAAAACAAACTAATAAAAAGTATTTTTCCCCCGATGTAATGGTTTTTGTTTGATTAGTGATCTATCAAGGAAAGTAATTGGTACTAAGGGAAGTAATTAGTAAATTATTTTTAGACACCATTAGAATTTTTGTGAAAGGTGATGTACATCAAATTTGATTTTGTTCTTTGGACATTGATTGAATTAAACGGATAAGTTTGGAAAATGAAAGTGTTTTTTTTTTTTTTACAAAACCATCAATATTTATTTTTTTAGATATCCATTTAGATATTTGTACAAAAATAACTTTAAAAAAAATATTAATGGCGATCATGTCGAGGTTTTTATTTTATTTTGTCATCTGCCTGTCCTTCTGCACGTGGTGACACCCACAGTCTAGAACCTGGTGACACCCTAAGAAAACACATCGGGTGGTACTAAACCTAGTAACACAAATCACTAAGCAAAAAATTTAAAAAGTTGCTCATGATTTATTTACATCTGTTTTTTTTTCCTGCTTTTAAATTTGCAAAATGATCAAAACGATTAATAGATTCCATGAGCTCCATTCTATCTGCTTCTGTAAGTTTGATACTTATGATGGCCATGTTACTGACACAAACGGCATATCTACAATTTGTTTAATAACTTCATCATAACCCAACTCAGCTTCCCGATGACCAGTCAATTATAAAATATTTTCAAATTAAACTAGCTTACCAGACGTGCATTGCTGCAACCTAGTCCTAAACACCGGAGTGACGATACAGTTTATAAGTGTATCTTCAACGCGTAACTAATGGTTTATTTTTTTTAGATATTACATATATATATATATATATATATATATATATATATATATATATATATATATATATATATATATATATATATATATATATATATATAATATATGTGTGTAATTAGGGCAAGTTACGACAATAGTGGCCCTTCTGTTTTAGGGGTGGGGGACAGCGTGACCACCCGCGGGGTTTTATCGAATCACCTGTACCCGTTCGTCAACCCGGGCGTAGCCGGAGTGACCGTAACTGCTGTGGCCTTACGCCCTTAAACCAAGAAGACGAATTGCTAACGCTGGGGCAGACATCATTGTACTGGATAGGCCATTTAATTATACAAAAACATGCTCGCGAACTACAGGATAGCTTACTGTTTACGACATTATAAACTTTCTGGAACTGACCAGGTCTTGACAATAGGGTGTGGGGCCGGGAAAAGCAGCAACAGGTAACTTACTGGGAAGACGGACTGTCACTTTTACAGTTAGGATATGACTCATCGACCTTCGGGAACATTCTAAGATTCTAGGGGCAGCCTATATATACGGACCCAACGAAACACGACAGGCGAGTACGACCAGAAAACACAAAGAGACGGTAGATTAGACTTTGGTTCTGGTGCAAAGCATAAATCCAAACCAAGCTCGAAGTAACTAGAACGGAAGTGTTTTCTGTGACCAGACTTAGGAGTGAGTAAGATTGTGCTTCGCTGTCATTGTTAGTTGATACGTTGTGAATGTTGTGTATGAATTGTGCATGTTGTGTCTTAAGTACGTTGTTAGTTGATATCTTGGGAATGTGGTGTATGCATGTCCGTTGGTAGGTTAATAGGTCATTGTAGTGACAGAATAGCTTATTGCGATGATTAACCTTTTTTATTGTCAATTTATTTACAGACTTTGGAGGTCTGTTGGGTTTATAGTTTTTAGTTGATATTTGGTTTTGCTGGTACCACAATAAAAGATCGAACAATGTATAAAATATATCATATAATTTTTTCGGGGGAGGGGAGTGGTGACACCATTAGGTGCCGCACAGGGCGACACCCGACATAGCGACGCAACTGGGTTTTAATGATAACAAATCTGACGTGACAATTATTCTTATGGTACTACTTCCTTCTATATTTAATTTCAATTATTGAGAGCAATATGTAAAAACGTTAATCTCAGCACCTGACTAGAAAGATTTTAATGTTTCAACCAATGAAGTAGTAATGGTTCTGGTGTAAGACATTCACTTCATTATAATAGAGATAGTTCTAGTTTAAGACACACACTGAACATTAATAGATATAGTTCTAGTATAAAAAATTCACTGAACTAAATCGACATAACGTGTGATAGTATCTTGGTTATTATACAATTTTTAAAAAGCCTGCTTGATACCTTGGAACCTTTCACACATTGTCTGCTAAATTAAACTGTCAAAATATTTTAAAATCAATATAAACTACCGCATTTTTACCGTTTCAGAGGCTTTCTAGGAACACAAGGTGCAACTGGTTGGTTTATGTGTTGCACATTGAACATAATTTGTATGTATTTTATCAATGCAGCTGATGGAAAGGGAAATAACTGGGTAAAACATGATTGCTTGCCAAGAGTTGTCAACAGACCTAGGCTAATAATATGTGCAACCTAAAATATTTTAAAACAAGACAGGCTAATAATAGGTGCAACCTAAAATATTTTAAAACAAGACAGGCTAATAATAGGTGCAACTTAAAATATTTTAAAACAAGACAGGCTAATAATAGGTGCAACCTAAAATATTTTAAAACAAGACAGGCTAATAATAGGTGCAACTTAAAATATTTTAAAACAAGACAGGCTAATAATAGGTGCAACCTAAAATATTTTAAAACAAGACAGGCTAATAATAGGTGCAACTTAAAATATTTTAAAACAAGACAGGCTAATAATAGGTGCAACCTAAAATATTTTAAAACAAGACAGGCTAATAATAGGTGCAACCTAAAATATTTTAAAACAAGACAGGCTTATAATAGTTGCAACCTAAAATATTTTAAAACAAGACAGGCTAATAATAGGTGCAACCTAAAATATTTTAAAACAAGACAGGCTAATAATAGGTGCAACTTAAAATATTTTAAAACAAGACAGGCTAATAATAGGTGCAACCTAAAATATTTTAAAACAAGACAGGCTAATAATAGGTGCAACTTAAAATATTTTAAAACAAGACAGGCTAATAATAGGTGCAACCTAAAATATTTTAAAACAAGACAGGCTAATAATAGGTGCAACCTAAAATATTTTAAAACAAGACAGGCTTATAATAGTTGCAACCTAAAATATTTTAAAACAAGACAGGCTAATAATAGGTGCAACCTAAAATATTTTAAAACAAGACAGGCTAATAATAGGTGCAACTTAAAATATTTTAAAACAAGACAGGCTAATAATAGGTGCAACCTAAAATATTTTAAAACAAGACAGGCTAATAATAGGTGCAACTTAAAATATTTTAAAACAAGACAGGCTAATAATAGGTGCAACTTAAAATATTTTAAAACAAGACAGGCTAATAATAGGTGCAACTTAAAATATTTTAAAACAAGACAGGCTAATAATAGGTGCAACTTAAAATATTTTAAAACAAGACAGGCTAAAAATATTTTCAGACAAGACAGGTTAATGAAAGATGCAACCGATTAATATTTGAAAACAAGCTTATTTAAATGTGCATTTAATAACAAAACGGGAATCATGTTAATTTTCTTCTGCCCTTTCTTTATATCGTGTCTGCACTTTTTATATTAATTCTGTTTTACATATTAAGATTAATCAAGGAAATAATATGAGGGCTGAAGAAATTTAGGGCAGACACAGACGGTTGGTTGTAAAATACAAAATGTCCAGGCTCCTAAATCTACATTAGAAGGTGGTAGACCAAATTTAAGGAATATGTTTAATGAGCACCAAGTAACAAAAACACTTTAATAATATATACTCTACCCTCAAACTATTGGAGAAATAAGATGGTTAAGTTATCGGTACAATTATAATCTGTCCCACGTCTCTAGGAAGGCACACAATGCTACACACAAATTGGTCTGAGAAGCGTTGTTTACATCGTGCCAAATTATTTGAGAATTATTTTAAAAATACAAATAAAGTGTTAGGCAAAAAAATATGTCCCAAAAACTCTTTATAAAAATATGTATGCACCATTTGTAGTGGATTAGTCAATAATGGCCTATTCAGTTCACTCTCTCTCTCTCTCTCTCTCTTTCTCTCTGCTTGTAAGGATGGGTTCAAATCCTGGGCTCTATTGGTTAAAAAGTCATTGTAAGTTTAAAAAAATAGCGGGAAATGATAATTAAAATAATAATTAGGGGATCTGAAAAAATGTACGATAATTTGGATTAGGGTTGGATTAGAGTTGGGTTGGATTAGAGTTGGGTTGGATTAGGGTTGGTTTAGGGTTGGATTAGGGTTGGATTAGGGTTGGATTAGGGTTGGATTAGGGTTGGATTAGGGTTGAATTAGGGTTGAATTAGGGTTGGATTAGGGTTGGATTAGGGTTGGATTAGGGTTGAATTAGGGTTGGATTAGGGTTGGATTAGGGTTGGATTAGGGTTGGATTAGGGTTGGATTAGGGTTGGATTAGGGTTCGATTAGGGTTGGATTAGGGTTGGATTATGGTTGGATTAGGGTTGAATTTGGGTTGGATTAGGGTTGGATTAGGGTTGGATTAGGGTTGGATTAGGGTTGGATTAGGGTTGGATTAGGGTTAGATTAGGGTTGGATTAGGGTTTTACTTTTATTCAGTTTCCATGTCTGACATAATTTTTCCTGTTACCGTGTATCGTGTTCATTGAACCATTACCGTGTTCTACTAGATTTAGTGCCTGTTTATAAACACACAGTCATTTTTCTTCGTTTGATCGGTGTTAAGGTACGAAAGCTACAGGTATGTTTAAGAATATTTTTTTTCTGTACGAAAATAGGGGGCGACTGGTGTGTGCATTGGTGGGATTTTAAAAAAATGTTTGTTCCTAATAAAATTTATTTTTCATAGAGTAAATATAAAAAAAACTTAGTAAGAATAAATCATCACACAATGACGTCTTGACGGACTAGAAGAGTGCTGTGGTCATGCATGCTGTCCTGTGTTGGATCGTTGTCTCACTTGTCATGGTCAGTGTCTGGTCAGATACGGCTATAACATTTCACGTTAACGGCTTCAATATTGTGTTTGACGGGGTCAACATTCTCAGGTGAGTACTTCAATTAGTCTTAGATGATCTCATGTTTCTTCAAATCGTTTTATTGACCTCTCAGATGTAGCTGATAAGACTTCCACTCAGCTACTGTGACGGTCAAGTATACTGGTCAGTCTCTTCTATGTGGCCCCAATAGTTCCCTATAAATTAAACCCATCTCTTTATCCCTGCATAATAACTACAAACTATCATTACCCACATGGTAACTACATTCCTATTACCCCCCCCCCTCCTCAAGTGTTCCATTTTACATCAAATAACTAAACATAAACTGCGTGTGGTCAAACTAACAATGATTGCATCCTCATTCCTACATATTGATTATATGTTAAAAGTGTGCACCTTTCATACACACATATACATGCATATACACAGATTTTATATAATCCACAAGCTTTTTAACTTTAGAGAACGGGACAGAATCTCTTGACAAAAATAGATTCCCCATGCTAGACGAGAGCCATCTTATCTGATCGGCCGTCTGTTAGACTTTAGTGGTCCCTGTGTTAATGTGTTGATGCTGGGACGTACCTGAATACATTAGCGACATCTTCTGTACACAGCATAAGGAATCATTGATCCGTGACGTACAAAACAACGATTTAAATACCGTGTACATATATATCAAGGAAAATAAGTACATGTTTATACGTTTGTTGAAATAAGTACATGTATATACGTTTGTTGAAATAAGTACATGTTTATACGTTTGTGGAATTAAGTACATGTTTATACCTATGTTGAAATAAGTACATGTTTATACGTTTGTTGAAGTAAGTACATATTTATACGTTTGTTGAAGTAAGCACATGTTTATAGGCCCTACGTTTGTTGAAATAAGCACCTTTTTATACGTTTAAGGTAATTAGACTTCATATAAACTGTATCGTGCTATGTATACTTTTGTTAATTTACCCGGGTTTCAGCTAAATACACAAATGTTTGTTTATCACCCATGTTAAACTTTTCATGCAAAAAAAGAAACTTTGTAAAGATGTGTTGATCATAAGTACGAACCGTAATTTGTTAGTGTACTCTGTGTATTCACACATATTGGGGTCGGTAGAATTTTTTTTCTGAATTGTGCCCCAAACACTCTCTATGTAATTCTACAGAACACGAATCGTATCGCTAGAGTGTGACACTATGTTCTGACACTAACTTTTATCTTCAGGTTGTTCGCATGTTTTGCTGAGTCCAGCATCTACTGCGTCATCAGGATACGCCCGGCGTCCGTCATCCAGCAACGCTATGACGTCTACAACACGACAGCTGAACCATCCAACGTTCGGCAGGACTGGAAATTCAGCAACGTCTACATGTGCACGTCGCCTAGCAACGCTTCGTCACAGAGTCTCTGGTGCTCGCTGGCCATCATAGACGTGCAGGCTGATTACGTCATGACGTCCAAGTGCCGTCAGTTTTACGTCACATCCGGTCGCCAGAATTCCTCAACTTACGCCATTTTGTGGTCGCAGAGTTCTGACCTCATCGATTATACGCTGTCAGAGATGGACACCAGTGTGATCAATGGGGAACCATGTGACATGACACCAGCACTAGACACTGACACTACCATAAGATCAACCAATATTTCAACTACTGGACCTACATCTCAATCAACTACTGAACCAAATTCTCAATCAACTGCTGTACCGCAATCTCAATCAACTACTGCACCAACATCTCAATCAACCATTGTACCAACTTCTCAATCATCTACTGCACCTACATCTCAATCAAGTACTGTATCAACATCTCAATCAAGTACTGTGCCAACATATCAATCAAGTACAGTACCAATATCTCAATCATCTACTGTACCAACATCTCAATCAAGTTACTCTGAATTATCTACTGTACCAACATATCAATCTAGTACTGTTTCAACTTCTCAATCAACTACTGGACCTACATCTCAATCAAGTACTGGACCTACATCTCAATCAAGTACTGTATCAACATCTCAATCAAGTACTGTGCCAACATCTCAATCAAGTACAGTACCAATATCTCAATCATCTACTGTACCAACATCTCAATCAACTAACTCTGAATTATCTACTGTACCAACATATCAATCTAGTACTGTTTCAACTTCTCAATCAACTACTGGACCTACATCTCAATCAAGTACTGTATCAACATCTCAATCAAGTACTGTGCCAACATCTCAATCAAGTACAGTACCAATATCTCAATCATCTACTGTACCAACATCTCAATCAAGTAACTCTGAATTATCTACTGTATCAACATATCAATCTAGTACTGTTTCAACTTCTCAATCAACTACTGGACCTACATCTCAATCAAGTACTGTATCAACATCTCAATCAAGTACTGTGCAAACATCTCAATCAAGTACAGTACCAATATCTCAATCATCTACTGTACCAACATCTCAATCAAGTAACTCTGAATTATCTACTGTACCAACATATCAATCTAGTACTGTTTCAACTTCTCAATCAACTACTGGACTTACATCTCAATCAAGTACTGGACCTACATCTCAATCAAGTACTGTATCAACATCTCAATCAAGTACTGTGCCAACATCTCAATCAAGTACAGTACCAATATCTCAATCAACTACTGTACCAACATCTCAATCAAGTAACTCTAAATTATCTACTGTACCAACATATCAATCTACAACTGTTTCAACTTCTCAATCAACTACTGGACCTACATCTCAATCAAGTACTGTATCAACATCTCAATCAAGTACTGTGCCAACATCTCAATCAACTACTGGACCTACATCTTAATCAACTACTGTACCAACATCTCAATCAACCACTGTATCAACATCTCAATCAACTATTGTACTAACATCTCAACCAACTACTGGACCTACATCTTAATCAACTAAATCTAAATTATCTACTGTACCATCATATAAATCTACTACTGTACCAACATTTCAATCAACTACTGTACCAACTTCTCAATCAACTAAATCTGAATTATCTACTGTACCAACATATCAATAAACTACTGTACCAACAATTCAATCAACTAATGTACCAACACCTGAATCAACCACTGTACCAACATCTCAGCCAACTACTGTTGAAATAAAAAGAAATAAATAAAAGCGTGGGTCGTTTGTTTAAATACTTATTATTATAGCGGCACACGCTTTTATTTAAAGTGATATAAATAGTAGTGCATTAATATATTTAAAGAAAGTATTTTTTTATATTAAAAGTAGCTGCAGATTTATTATATTTTTAAAAATTATTTTACATTTAATAAAAATTGTATTATTTTCTTCTTTTTAGTGTATTTATAAAAGCTTGTAATTATAAACGTTATTATGTATTTATTATTTTTGTACTTTCTTAGCGTTAATGAGTTATACGCATGTTAAGGCAATATAGTGTAGCAACAAATATATGATACACAATTTGAAAACCAGTTTTGCTTTAATAATATAATTAGTTTACTATACGTGTCACTTTGACTGATGTTTAAGTTACAATCCGAAAATTGTCACAATTAACTGAACACATCATAGAACACTAATCTTTAATTCTTCTTTAACCGAAGACATTAATACTGGTCAGTCTGTGGTCATGTTTATAGCTAAAGTTTCAATAAAGTATTATGGGATGGCGTAGTCTAGTGGTAAATAACTAGACTGCTGACCCGACTAAAAAACCATTGCGCGCCTATTGAACGTGATGACGTGCTTTTGTCGTAGAGCCCCCCCCCCCCCCCCCCCCCCCAAGACGGCCGTGATGACGCGTGTGGATAGAACTGCCTACTAATTCGGTCAAAATATGAATTAATTAATACAAAATTAATTAGGCGACCAATTAAGTTACATTGAATGTCACGATGCATTGTCTTCATGTCTTGACACACGTACCAATTACGAACCGTATCTGTCAGTTAGAAGTGCCTGCAATTTCGCACGGGCGTTTCGATCTAGACAGACTAACGACAGACTGAAGACAGAGGAAGTGAGTTAAATAAAAGCTTGTAAAAAAAACTTCATAAAAAACGTTTTAATAACAAACTTTTATGTAATAATGCACTAAAAAGTAGAAAATAAATGATACACTACTATTTAAGTAACTATAAAGAAAAGCGTGGGTCTCTTCCTAAATATTAGACACTACTATTTAAATTACTATAAAGAGAAGCGTGGGTCACTTTAGTATCTATTGGATACCTTTACTAATTTTTGAGGAAGAGACCCACGCTTTTATTTATATTAATTTAAATAGTAGTGTCTAAAATTTAGGAAGAGACCCATGCTTTTCGTTATAGTTATTTAAATAGTAGCGTATAATTTATTTTCTACTTTTTAGTGCATTATTACATAAAAGCTTGTTATTAAAACGATTTTTTTTCAGCACTTAACATGTTTTATTTATAATAGAATTACATGACTAAAAATCATCGCGCGCTTATTAAACGTGATGACGCGTTTTAATGCCTTTCTCTGCCCTGTTTTATCGTAGAGCCCTCCTCACTCCACGCCTAAGAGGTCATTGATGAAGCGTGTGGCAAAAATTATTTTGGGATGGTGTAGTCTAGTGGTAAAGAACTAGACTGCTGACCCGACTAAAAACCATTGCGCGCCTACTGAACGTGACGACGCGCTTTTGTCGTAGAGCCCCATTCTCCCCCCCCCCCCCCAGCCCTCGCTCCACGACCAAGACATCCGTGATGACGCGTGTGGATAGAACTGCCTACTAATTCGGTCAAAATATTAATTAATTCATAAAAAATTAATTAGGCGACCAATTAAGTCAAATTGAATGTCACGATGCAGTGTCTTTATGTCTTGACCCAATTACCAACTACGAACCGTATCTGTCAGTTAAACGTGCCTGCAATTTCACACGGGCGTTTCGATCTAGACAGACACGCAGACTGACTGACGACTGACGACAGAGGAAATGAGTTAAATAAATGCTTGTAAAAATTCACTGAACTAAATCCACATAACGTGTAATAGTGTCTTGGTTATTATATAATTTAAAACAGCCTGCTTAATACCTTTCACACATTGTCTGCTACACTTAACTGTCAAAATATTTTAAGATCAATATAACCTACCGCAGTTTTACCTTTTTAGAGGCTTTCTAGCAACACAAGGTGCAACTGTTTGGTTTATGTGTTCCACACTGACCATAATTTGCTGCTGCTGCAAAGGGAAATAACTGGGTAAAACATGATTGCTTGACGAGAGTTGTCAACAGACCTATGTCAGAGACAAAGGCTAATGATAGGTGCAACCTAAAATATTTTAAAACAAGACAGGCTAATAATAGGTGCAACCTAAAATATTTTAAAACAAGACAGGCTAATAATAGGTGCAACCTAAAATATTTTAAAACAAGACAGGCTAATGATAGGTGCAACCTAAAATATTTTAAAACAAGACAGGCTAATAATAGGTGCAACCTAAAATATTTTAAAACAAGACAGGCTAATAATAGGTGCAACCTAAAATATTTTAAAACAAGACAGGCTAATGATAGGTGCAACCTAAAATATTTTAAAACAAGACAGGCTAATGATAGGTGCAACCTAAAATATTTTAAAACAAGACAGGCTAATGATAGGTGCAACCTAAAATATTTTAAAACAAGACAGGCTAATGATAGGTGCAACCTAAAATATTTTAAAACAAGACAGGCTAATGATAAGTGCAACCTAAAATATTTTAAAACAAGACAGGCTAATGATAGGTGCAACCTAAAATATTTTAAAACAAGACAGGCTAATGATAGGTGCAACCTAAAATATTTTAAAACAAGACAGGCTAATGATAGGTGCAACCTAAAATATTTTAAAACAAGACAGGCTAATGATAGGTGCAACCTAAAATATTTTAAAACAAGACAGGCTAATAATAGATGCAACCTAAAATATTTTAAAACAAGACAGGCTAATGATAGGTGCAACCTAAAATATTTTATAACAAGACAGGCTAATGATAGGTGCAACCTAAAATATTTTAAAACAAGACAGGCTAATAATAGGTGCAACCTAAAATATTTTAAAACAAGACAGGCTAATAATAGGTGCAACCTAAAATATTTTAAAACAAGACAGGCTAATGATAGGTGCAACCTAAAATATTTTATAACAAGACAGGCTAATGATAGGTGCAACCTAAAATATTTTAAAACAAGACAGGCTAATGATAGGTGCAACCTAAAATATTTTAAAACAAGACAGGCTAATGATAGGTGCAACCTAAAATATTTTAAAACAAGACAGGCTAATAATAGATGCAACCTAAAATATTTTAAAACAAGACAGGCCTATTATAGGTGCAACCTAACATATTTTAAAACAAGACAGCCTAATAATAGGTGCAACCTGAAATATTTTAAAACAAGACAGGCTAAGATATGTGCAGCCTAAAATATAAAAAAAAACCTCTAATGATAGGTGCAACCTAAAATATTTTAAAACAAGACAGACTAATGATAGGTTCATTCTAAAAATATTTAAAACAAGACATGCTAATAATAGGTGGAACCTAATATATTTTCAGACAAGACAGGTTAATGAATGATGCAACCGAATAATATTTAAAAACAAGCTTATTTAAATGTGCATTTAATAAAAAGGTGCATACGTCAGAATGTGTAGACAGAATATTTAGACCAAAACACGTGCACAAAGGCTATTATTATATTAGTGAAGGAAAAGTGAGACAGTCAATACATACGGTGAGGTAGGATGTCGAAGGCACATAAGCTGGGAGCATATTAATTTCATTATGCCCTTTCTGTGTATCGTGTCTGCACTTTTTATATTAATTCTGTTTTACATATTAAGATTAATCGAGGAAAGAATATGAGGGTTGAAGAAATTTAGGGCAGACATAGACGGTTGGTTGTAAAATACAAAGTGTTCCTAAATCTACATAACTAGGTTATAGACCAAAAGGAATGAGTTTAATGACCACCAAGTAACAAAAACACTTTAATTAGCTTGTCAGACATTGTACTCTACCCTCAAACTATTGGAGAAATAAGATGATTAATTTAACGTCCCTAGGACTCTTGGACGATACACAATGTTTGAGAAGTTAAGCGTTGTTTACATCAGGCCAAATTATTTAAGAATTATTTTTCACATACAAATGAAGGGATTTACCATAATATAATCTACCAAAACTCTTTATAAAATGATGTATGCACCATTTGTATTGGATTAGTCAATTAAAATTGAAATCGATTATACCTTTTTAAATGTTCAATTATATTGCGATCTGCTGCCCAAACTGGCAAAATGTAAGAATGTAAGAACAGTTCACTTATAATAATACATTTTAGTAATATTGCATGGAACGGGATGGCAGAGAGGACTAGGTGTCAGTTATTCAGTTAACTCTCTCTCTCTGCTTGTAAGGCTGGGTTCAAATCCTGGGCTCTAATGGTTAAAATGTAATTGTAAGTTAAAAAAAATAGTGGGGAATAACATTTAAAATAATAATTAGGGGAACTGAAAAATGTGCGACAATTTGGATTAGGGTTGGATTAGGGTTGGATTAGGGTTGGATTAGGGTTGGATTAGGGTTGGATTAGGGTTGGATTAGGGTTGGATTAGGGTTGGATTAGGGTTGGATTAGGGTTGGATTAGGGTTGGATTAGGGTTGGATTAGGGTTGGATTAGGGTTGGATTAGGGTTGGATTAGGGTTGGATTAGGGTTGGATTAGGGTTGGATTAGGGTTGGATTAGGGTTGGATTAGGGTTGGATTAGGGTTGGATTAGGGTTGGATTAGGGTTGGATTAGGGTTGGATTAGGGTTGGATTAGGGTTGGATTAGGGTTGGATTAGGGTTGGATTAGGGTTGGATTAGGGTTGGATTAGGGTTGGATTAGGGTTGGATTAGGGTTGGATTAGGGTTGGATTAGGGTTGGATTAGGGTTGGATTAGGGTTGGATTAGGGTTGGATTAGGGTTGGATTAGGGTTGGATTAGGGTTGGATTAGGGTTGGATTAGGGTTGGATTAGGGTTGGATTAGGGTTGGATTAGGGTTGGATTAGGGTTGGATTAGGGTTGGATTAGGGTTGGATTAGGGTTGGATTAGGGTTGGATTAGGGTTGGATTAGGGTTGGATTAGGGTTGGATTAGGGTTGGATTAGGGTTGGATTAGGGTTGGATTAGGGTTGGATTAGGGTTGGATTAGGGTTGGATTAGGGTTGGATTAGGGTTGGATTAGGGTTGGATTAGGGTTGGATTAGGGTTGGATTAGGGTTGGATTAGGGTTGGATTAGGGTTGGATTAGGGTTGGATTAGGGTTGGATTAGGGTTGGATTAGGGTTGGATTAGGGTTGGATTAGGGTTGGATTAGGGTTGGATTAGGGTTGGATTAGGGTTGGATTAGGGTTGGATTAGGGTTGGATTAGGGTTGGATTAGGGTTGGATTAGGGTTGGATTAGGGTTGGATTAGGGTTGGATTAGGGTTGGATTAGGGTTGGATTAGGGTTGGATTAGGGTCGGGTCGGAGCCGGGTCGGGTCGGAGCCGGGTCGGGTCGGGGCCGGGTCGGGTCGGAGCCGGGTCGGGTCGGGGCCGGGTCGGGTCGGGGCCGGGTCGGGTCGGGGCCGGGTCGGGTCGGGGTCGGGTCGGGTCGGGGCCGGGTCGGGTCGGGGCCGGGTCGGGTCGGGGTCGGGTCGGGTCGGGGCCGGGTCGGGTCGGGGCCGGGTCGGGTCGGGGTCGGGTCGGGTCCGGGTCCGGGTCGGGTCGGGGCCGGGTCGGGTCGGGGTCGGGTCGGGGCCGGGTCGGGTCGGGTCGGGGCCGGGTCGTCGGGGCCGGGTCGGGTCGGGGCCGGGTCGGGTCGGGGCCGGGTCGGGTCGGGGCCGGGTCGGGTCGGGGCCGGGTGGGGTCGGGGCCGGGTGGGGTCGGGGCCGGGTCGGGTCGGGGCCGGGTCGGGTCGGGGCCGGGTCGGGTCGGGGCCGGGTCGGGTCGGGGCCGGGTCGGGTCGGGGCCGGGTCGGGTCGGGGCCGGGTCGGGTCGGGTCGGGGCCGGGTCGGGGCCGGGTCGGGTCGGGGCCGGGTCGGGTCGGGGCCGGGTCGGGTCGGGGCCGGGTCGGGTCGGGGCCGGGTCGGGGCCGGGGCCGGGGCCGGGTCGGGGCCGGGTCGGGGGCCGGGTCGGGGCCGGGGCCGGGTCGGGGCCGGGTCGGGTCGGGGTCGGGTCGGGGTCGGGTCGGGGTCGGGTCGGGGCCGGGTCGGGGCCGGGTCGGGGTCGGGTCGGGGCCGGGTCGGGGCCGGGTCGGGTCGGGGCCGGGTCGGGTCGGGGCCGGGTCGGGTCGGGGCCGGGTCGGGTCGGGGCCGGGTCGGGTCGGGGCCGGGTCGGGTCGGGGCCGGGTCGGGTCGGGGCCGGGTCGGGTCGGGGCCGGGTCGGGTCGGGGCCGGGTCGGGTCGGGGCCGGGTCGGGTCGGGGCCGGGTCGGGTCGGGGCCGGGTCGGGTCGGAGCCGGGTCGGGTCGGAGCCGGGTCGGGTCGGAGCCGGGTCGGGTCGGAGCCGGGTCGGGTCGGAGCCGGGTCGGGTCGGAGCCGGGTCGGGTCGGAGCCGGGTCGGGTCGGAGCCGGGTCGGGTCGGGTCGGAGCCGGGTCGGGTCGGAGCCGGGTCGGGTCGGAGTCGGGTCGGGTCGGGTCGGAGCCGGGTCGGGTCGGAGCCGGGTCGGAGCCGGGTTTTACTTTTATTCAGTTTTATTATAGTTGACAAAATCAAGAGTTCCATGTCTTAGACGCCGTGTATCGTGTTCATTGAACCAGTACCGTGTTCTGCTAGATTTAGTTTATAAACACAACGAGTCTGTCATTTTTCTTCCTTTGTTCGGTGTTAAGGTACGAAAGCTACAGGTATGTTTTAGAACTATTTTTTTCTGTACGAAAATAGGGGTGCGACTGTTTTTTACAATAGTGGTTTTTTTTCCTGCTAACATTTATTTTTTTATTGTGTAAGTCAAGTTAAATCATCACACAATGACGTCTTGACGGACTAGAAGAGTGCTGTGGTCATGCATGCTGTTCTGTGTTGGATCTGTGTCTCACTTGTCATGGTCAGTGTCTGGTCAGATACGGCTATAACATTTCACGTTAACGGCTTCAGCATCGTCTTTGACTCACTCAACATTGTCAGGTGAGTGCTTCACGTTCCTTGAAATAGCTATATTGACCTCTCAGGTGTAGCTGATAAGACTTCCACTCAGCCAATGTGACGGTCAAGTATACTGGTCAGTCTCCGCGATGTGGTCCCAATAGTTCCCTATAAATTCTGACCCTTTCTGTGAATCGTGACTGCGCTTTTTATACCAATATCTTTATCCCCGCATGATAACTACCCACTGTCATTACCCACACGGTAACTATATTCATATTCCCCACCGCCTTCCTCAAGTGTTCCATGTACACCAAAGAACTAAACATAAACTGCGTGTGGTCAAACTAACAATGATTGCCTTTGATCCTCATTCCTACAAATTGATTATATGTTAAAAGTGTGCACCTTTCATACACACATATACACGCATATACACAGATTTTATATAATCCACAAACTTTTAAACTTTAGAGAACGCGACAGAATCTCTTGACAAAAATAGATTCCATATTCTAGACAAGAGCCATCTTATCTGATCAGCCGCCTGCTAGAGTTTGGTCGTCCCTGTGTTAAATGTGTTGAAGTTGGGTCGTACCTGAATACATTAGCGACATCTTCTGTTCACAGCGTAAGGAATCATTGATCCGTGACGTACAAAACAACTATTTAAATACCCTGTACATATATATCAAGGAAAATAAGTATATGTTTATACGTCTATGGAAATAAGCACATGTTTATACGTTTATGGAAATAAGCACATGTTTATACGTTTGTTGAAATAAGCACATGTTTATACGTTTGTTGAAATAAGCACATGTTTACAGGCCCTACGTTTGTTGAAATAAGTACATGTTTATACGTTTGTTAAAATAAGCACATGTTTACAGGCCCTACGTTTGTTGAAATAAGCACCTTTTTATACGTTTGATGAAATTAGACTTCATATAAACTGTATCGTGCTATCTATACATTTGTTAATTTCTCGAGTTTCAGCTAAATACACAAATGTTTGTTTATCACCAGTGTTAAAATTTTCATGCAAAAAAAAAAGATGTGTTGATCATAAGTACGAACCTTAATTTGTTAGTGCACTCTATGTATGCACACATAGTGGGGTCGGTAGAATTTTTTGTTCTGAATTTGGCCCCAAACACTCCCTATGTAATTCTACTGAACATGAATCGTATCGCTAGAGTGTGACATTAGGTTCTGACACTAACTTTTATCTACAGGTTGTTCGCATGTTTTGCTGAGTCCAGCATCTACTGCGTCATCAGGATACGTCCAGCGTCCGTCATCCAGCAACGCTATGACGTCTACAACACGACAGCTGAACCATCCAACGTTCGGCAGGACTGGAACTTCAGCAACGTCTACATGTGCACGTCGCCTAGCAACGCTTCGTCACAGAGTCTCTGGTGCACGCTGGTCATCAGTGACGTGCAGGCTGATTACGTCATGACGTCCAAGTGCCGTCAGTTTTACGTCACATCCGTTCGCGGAAATTCCTCAACGTACGCCATTTTGTGGTCGCAGAGTTCTGACGTCATCGATTACACGCTTTCAGAGATGGACAACAGTGTGATCAATGTGGAACCATGTGACATGACACCAGCACTAGACACAGACACTACCATAAGATCAACCAATATTTCAACAACAGTTTCAGCATATCAATCAACATCTGTTTTAACGACTGCATCAACCACTGTACCAACATCTGAATTAACTACTGTACCAACATCTGAATCTACTACTATATCAACATCTGAATCAACTACTGTACCAACACCTGAATCTACTACTGTACCAACATCTCAATCAACTACTATATCAACATCTGAATTAACTACTGTACCAACATCTCAATCAACTACTGTACCAACATCTCTATCAACGAATGTACCAACATCTGAATTAGCTACTGTACCAACATCCCAATCAACTACTGTACCAACATCTCAATTACTTACATATCAATCAACTACTGTACCAACATCTCAATCAACTACTCTACCAACATTTGAATCAACTACTGTACCAACATCTGTATCATCGACTGTAACAACATATAAATCAACTACATCTCAATCAACTACTGTACCAACATCTCAATCAACCACTCTACCAACATCTCAATCAACTACCATAACAACACCTCAATCAACTACTGTACCAACATCTCAATCAACTATTGTAACAACATCTGAATTAACTCCACCTGAATTAACTAATGTATCAATATCTCAATCATCGACTGTACCAACATCTCAATCAACTACATCTCAATCAACTACTGTACCATCATCTCAATCAACTACTGTACCAACATCTCAATCAACGACTGTACCAACATCTGAATCAACCACTGTACTAACATCTCAATCAACTATTGTAACAAAATCTGAATCAACTACACCTGAATTAACTAATGTATCAATATCTCAATCAACTACTGTACCAACACCTCAATCAATTACTGTACCAACATCTGAATCAACCACTGTACCAACATCTGAATCAACTATTGTATCAATATATCAACCAACTACACCTCAATCAACAACTGTATAAACATGGGCAATAACTACAGTTCTTCGTTTATCGCTTGAAGGCAACGCTACAACCGGTAATTTAATAGACCTGACAAGTTTAACAACGAAACCAACCATTAAAACTGAAACAAACTTAAACATAGATGTGTCACCATTAACATCTGCACAGTATATCAAAGATGTATCACCACTAACCTCTTTACAGTACACCTTAGATGTGTCACCATTAACATCTGCACAGTATATCAAAGATGTGTCACCACTAACCTCTTTACAGTACACCTTAGATGTGTCACCATCAACACCTGCACAGTACACACTTGCTGTGTCACCATCAGCTTCTCAACAGTACACCTTTGGGGTGTTACACTCTACATCTGTTCAGTACACCCCATATGTTTCACCTTCAACTTCAATACAGAACACCTTATCAGCTGGACCTACAACTGGTTTACAAAGTTCATTGGTAGAAGCAACTGGTTTACAAAGTTCATTGGTAGAGGCAACTGGTTTACAAAGTTTATTGGTAGAGGCAACTGGTTTACAAAGTTCATTGGTAGAGGCAACTGGTTTACAAAGTTCATTGGTAGAGGTAGAGGCAACTGGTTTACAAAGTTCATTGGTAGAGGTAGAGGCAACTGGTTTACAAAGTTCATTGGTAGAGGTAGAGGCAACTGGTTTACAAAGTTCATTGGTAGAGGTAGAGGCAACTGGTTTACAAAGTTCATTGGTAGAGGCTACTGGTTTACAAAGTTCATTGGTAGAGGTAGAGGCAACTGGTTTACAAAGTTTATTGGTAGAGGTAGAGGCAACTGGTTTACAAAGTTCATTGGTAGAGGTAGAGGCAACTGGTTTACAAAGTTCATTGGTAGAGGCAACTGGTTTACAAAGTTCATTGGTAGAGGTAGAGGCAACTGGTTTACAAAGTTCAATGGTAGAGGCAACTGGTTTACAAAGTTCATTGGTAGAGACAAATGGTTTACAAAGTTCATTGGTAGAGGTAGAGGCAACTGGTTTACAAAGTTCATTGGTAGAGGTAGAGGCAACTGGTTTACAAAGTTCAATGGTAGAGGTAGAGGCAACTGGTTTACAAAGTTCATTGGTAGAGGTAGAGGCAACTGGTTTACAAAGTTCATTGGTAGAGGTAGAGGCAACTGGTTTACAAAGTTCAATGGTAGAGGCAACTGGTTTACAAAGTTCATTGGTAGAGGTAGAGGCAACTGGTTTACAAAGTTCATTGGTAGAGGTAGAGGCAACTGGTTTACAAAGTTCATTGGTAGAGACAAATGGTTTACAAAGTTCATTGGTAGATGTAGAGGCAACTGGTTTACAAAGTTCATTGGTAGAGGTAGAGGCAACTGGTTTACAAAGTTCAATGGTAGAGGTAGAGGCAACTGGTTTACAAAGTTCATTGGTAGAGGTAGAGGCAACTGGTTTACAAAGTTCATTGGTAGAGGTAGAGGCAACTGGTTTACAAAGTTCAATGGTAGAGGCAACTGGTTTACAAAGTTCATTGGTAGAGGTAGAGGCAACTGGTTTACAAAGTTCATTGGTAGAGGTAGAGGCAACTGGTTTACAAAGTTCATTGGTAGAGGCAACTGGTTTACAAAGTTCATTGGTAGATGTAGAGGCAACTGGTTTACAAAGTTCATTGGTAGAGGTAGAGGCAACTGGTTTACAAAGTTCATTGGTAGAGGAAGGGGCAACTGGTTTACAAAGTTCATTGGTAGAGGTAGAGGCAACTGGTTTACAAAGTTCATTGGTAGAGGTAGAGGCAACTGGTTTACAAAGTTCATTGGTAGAGGCAACTGGTTTACAAAGTTCATTGGTAGATGTAGAGGCAACTGGTTTACAAAGTTCATTGGTAGAGGTAGAGGCAACTGGTTTACAAAGTTCATTGGTAGAGGTAGAGGCAACTGGTTTACAAAGTTCATTGGTAGAGGTAGAGGCAACTGGTTTACAAAGTTCATTGGTAGAGGTAGAGACAACTGGTTTACAAAGTTCATTGGTAGAGGCAACTGGTTTACAAAGTTCATTGGTAGAGGTAGAGGCAACTGGTTTACAAAGTTCATTGGTAGAGGTAGAGGCAACTGGTTTACAAAGTTCATTGGTAGAGGCAACTGGTTTACAAAGTTCATTGGTAGAGGTAGAGGCAACTGGTTTACAAAGTTCATTGGTAGAGGCAACTGGTTTACAAAGTTCATTGGTAGAGGCAACTGGTTTACAAAGTTCATTGGTAGAGGTAGAGTTAACTGGTTTACAAAGTTCATTGGTAGAGGTAGAGGCAACTGATTTACAAAGTTCATTGGTAGAGACAACTGGTTTACAAAGTTCATTGGTAGAGGTAGAGGCAACTGGTTTACAAAGTTCATTGGTAGAGGTAGAGGCAACTGGTTTACAAAGTTCATTGGTAGAGGCAACTGGTTTACAAAGTTCATTGGTAGAGGTAGAGGCAACTGGTTTACAAAGTTCATTGGTAGAGGTAGAGGCAACTGGTTTACAAAGTTCATTGGTAGAGGTAGAGGCAACTGGTTTACAAAGTTCATTGGTAGAGGTAGAGGCAACTGGTTTACAAAGTTCATTGGTAGAGGTAGAGGCAACTGGTTTACAAAGTTCATTGGTAGAGGTAACTGGTTTACAAAGTTCATTGGTAGAGACAACTGGTTTACAAAGTTCATTGGTAGAGGTAGAGGCAACTGGTTTACAAAGTTCATTGGTAGAGGTAACTGGTTTACAAAGTTCATTGGTAGAGGCAACTGATTTACAAAGTTCATTGGTAGAGGCAACTGGTTTACAAAGTTCATTGGTAGAGACAACTGGTTTACAAAGTTCATTGGTAGAGGTAGAGGCAACTGGTTTACAAAGTTCATTGGTAGAGGTAGAGGCAACTGGTTTACAAAGTTCATTGGTAGAGGTAGAGGCAACTGGTTTACAAAGTTCATTGGTAGAGGTAGAGGCAACTGGTTTACAAAGTTCATTGGTAGAGGTAGAGGCAACTGGTTTACAAAGTTCATTGGTAGAGGTAGAGGCAACTGGTTTACAAAGTTCATTGGTAGAGGTAGAGACAACTGGTTTACAAAGTTCATTGGTAGAGGCAACTGGTTTACAAAGTTCATTGGTAGAGGTAGAGGCAACTGGTTTACAAAGTTCATTGGTAGAGGTAGAGGCAACTGGTTTACAAAGTTCATTGGTAGAGGCAACTGGTTTACAAAGTTCATTGGTAGAGGTAGAGGCAACTGGTTTACAAAGTTCATTGGTAGAGGTAGAGGCAACTGGTTTACAAAGTTCATTGGTAGAGGCAACTGGTTTAGAAAGTTCATTGGTAGAGGCAACTGGTTTACAAAGTTCATTGGTAGAGGTAGAGTTAACTGGTTTACAAAGTTCATTGGTAGAGGTAGAGGCAACTGATTTACAAAGTTCATTGGTAGAGACAACTGGTTTACAAATTTCATTGGTAGAGGTAGAGGCAACTGGTTTACAAAGTTCATTGGTAGAGGTAGATGCAACTGGTTTACAAAGTTCATTGGTAGAGGCAACTGGTTTACAAAGTTCATTGGTGGAGGTAGAGGCAACTGGTTTACAAAGTTCATTGGTAGAGGTAAAGGGTTTACAAAGTTCATTGGTAGAGGCAACTGGTTTACAAAGTTCATTGGTAGAGGTAGAAGCAACTGGTTTACAAAGTTCATTGGGAGAGGTAGAGGCAACTGGTTTACAAAGTTCATTGGTAGAGGCAACTGGTTTACAAAGTTCATTGGTAGAGGTAGAGCCAACTGGTGTACAAAGTTCATTGGTAGAGGTAGAGCCAACTGGTTTACAAAGTTCATTGGTAGAGGCAACTGGTTTACATTTTGAACCATCAGTGCATTCACCACCAACATTTGTACAAAAGTCAACTCTGAATATTTTCCAGACTACCTACAGCACTGAACAGTACCTTGATTTTTCTAGCGTTGCTTCTCATGCCACTGCTGAGGCCTGGATGCCAAACACAACAAACAGATCACCGTCTACAGAACTGCTCGGCGGTTCCTGGACGTTTAGCTCAAGCTACACCCAGTCTTCTGGCGCCAGTGCAGATTATAATGACGAGACCCACTCTCTGATCCAACCCTCATCACGTGATGTCTCAGCCATCTCTCTCAGTGTCACCACACCACGCGGTTACCATGACAACAGTCAAGAATTATCTAGCGAGGAAGTGACCTATATTGTAACAGTAACTCTTGTCGTCACGATAGCTGGGTGTATTCTCACGGTTATTTCCCTTGCCGTTCGGCGCCGATGCCTGTCCCACAAATCTGGCCAGACAGAGTTCAAGAACACATCTCTACCCATAACTCCCGTCTCTAGCGTCACGTTTGTTTGATATCAGTTTCGTATGTCTTTTTCTTATGTCATTTCTATATGTCATTTTCCTTTGGTCGGTTCCATAAGTCACTTCCGTATATCAGTTCCACATGTACGTTCCATGTATCAGTTTCATATGTAGGTCAGGGGCGGAACTACAGTGCCGCCAGACCCCGCAATGCTGGGGGGAGGGGGGTGGCACGCCATATAGGGGCCCTCAGCCGACCATAATAATTTTTTTAATACTTAAAATTTTTTTAAATGTTCTTGTCTTTTTGACTTGATGGTTGTTTTGTAAAAAAAGATTACCGTAGCTGCGGTTGGATGATCTTTATTTTTTTCCTTTGTTTTTAACCACTGTGAAAGCCGAGTCCTCTTTCTCCTACAATCAAAATTATCAAAGATAAGCAAACGTTCAAACCGCTTACATGACTTATTTCCCTTTTTTAAATAGTCATAAGCTCCCTTTAATAGATTTGTACTAAACAAATTAAAAAGCAATTACTTATCTTAATTATTTTTTTTTATAAAGTACTTACTCAAGAATGATATTGTATAAAAACAAAATGTATTTAAAATTAATAATATAAATACACAAAAAAAACAACAAAAAATAAACATAACACGAGACACCATTATTTATACAAAGCTTTCATGGTTTATACTGTTTTGACCGTTCAGACTTTAGAGGTTAACAGGTCTTATAGCAGAGATAAAATAAAATTTATTTTCAAACATACTAATGCAATTACATACATGACAAGTTGTTGCATATTGTTTTAATTGGAAAAAAAAACATATTTTAAAAAAAACCCGTGGGGCTAAAAATATTTTGTGGGGTGGCACTTTTTTTCTAGTTCCGCCACTAATGTAGGTAGGTTCGACAAGTCACTCTGAAATGAAGCTTTTTTTTACCTTAATAGATTGTTATAACCCATTGAATGACAACTGATTAGAAGTATTACATTATTTTACAATGCAGAACAACAAACGATCGACGGGGATTTATATTATAAAATAATCTTGAAATCAAAATCGCATTTTAATTATTGAATACCACTTATCACATGTAGTCTACTTAATTACATGTCCACATTTTTTAAAAGGCAATTTCAAAAGTGTAATAATTTGTATTTTTTTTTCAATGAAAATATCACCAACTGTTCTCACTTGTTTGCATTTAACAGCGCGTTGGTTGGTGAGTAGTTTTTAGTTCACTCCTCAAACACATTAAAACTGAGACATAGCAAACATTGTTTGAACCAGACAGATGTTGAAGAGATGGACAATTTTTAGATAACTTAAAGTATTATTGTATAAAATAAAGTTTAAAAAAATGTATTTTGTAAATTTTTATAGAAAAATAAAACTTATAATATAAGTATTTCGAGCATTGTTTAGTTGGTTTTTGTTTGCTTTGACTTCATCTCTTGCACTATCCGAATGTTTATAAATTTTTTTAGTCAGTATTGATTTTCCCCAAACAAGAACTCTAGTAGGCGTACAATACAATTATTTATTGTATTTTAAAAAAAAATATCTATAGTAAAGTTTGATAGTTGTAATAAACCAAATAAATGTAGATAGCAATCAATAACTTAGTAGAAACACTTCTATATTTTTAATATTGCACAATAAAGACTAAAATGTCGAATCTATAGCATGCATAAATTTGTATAAAAACAAGGTTAGGTTAGGTTAGGTTAGGTTAGGTTAGGTTAGGTTAGGTTAGGTTAGGTTAGGTTAGGTTAGGTTAGGTTAGGTTAGGTTAGGTTAGGTTAGGTTAGGTTAGGTTAGGTTAGGTTAGGTTAGGTTAGGTTAGGTTAGGTTAGGTTAGGTTAGGTTAATAACAAGCTTTTATGTACTAATGCACTAAAAAGTAGAATATAAATTAAAGACTACTATTTAAATAACTATAAAGAAAAGCGTGGTCACAATTAAGTATACGTGTCAACTGGTTATGCGCCATTGAGGCCATTGACCCCGATTTCAGCCTGCTTTTCTTTTTTGATTTGCTTCCATAGTCTTTGTCCAACCAAGAACAAACTACAGGACAGCAGTTGTTTGATTTTGGAGTTGTCATTAGCCCGAGAGTTCGAACTCGAGACTGTTCGGTTCAGCAACCATGAGCTTTCCCGACTCGACCACGCCGAGAGCTATGTTTATGTTTTATAGCTTCAAAGTTTCTATCAGATGACATTGCTTTGCATCGCAATTATTTTTTAAAATCAATAACAGTTTAGAAGGCAGCTCCTAAATGCCGTTTATTTTTACTTTTCTCTTTCCGTTTGCGGATAAGCTTGGGTTAGTGTAGTCGTTCACTAAATTGAATCAGGCGCGTCCACCGGCACCCCTGCAGGGTTCGATTTGACGCCCTGAGCTATCTTATGAACGCTATGGTGCATATTTTTTTAAACAGTGCAATAGAAAGGTTACTATAGTCTTTAACTGAATCGAATCCGGGCGTCCTCCGGCACATCCTACAGGGTGCTATTTGGCGCCCAGGCCTTCCCGTGTTCGCTGTGGCGCCTACGTTCGTTTAAGTGAGCGCATAAGACAAAGAATAAGTTGTGGTACTATAGTCGTTTACTAAGTTGAATCAGGCGGTTCCGCCGGTGTCCAGCATGTGGCAATTTGGCGCCCCGGGCTGGAATATGACCAGGATGCTTTTATGTTTGCATTTAAGTTTGTGTTTATGTTTGCGTTTTGTTTTCATTATTTTGAGTTATTGTTTGCGTTTAGGTTTGCGGTTGTTTTTTGTTTTAAAATTTGGGTTTGTTTTTTTGTTTGCGTTTGTGCTTCTTTGTGTTTGGGTTTGTGGTTTGCATGTATATTTGTTTTCGTTTTTTTGTGGGTTTTTTTGTTGTGTTTATGTTTGTGTTTTCTTTGTGTTTGTGGTTTGGTTTGTGTTTTCGTTTTTGTTTTTGTTGGTATTTGTGATTTGCGTTTGTGTTATATTTGCTTTTTTGTGTTTGGTTTTGGTTGGTTGTGGTTAGGGTTAATTCGAAAAGTAATATATTTCCTAAACCCGAACGATGCCGGGTATATGCTGATTACTAAACACACAAGTCACGGTTGTGACGGAAAACCGTTTAGGCCTACCTCCATTTTGTTCTTCCACCACACTCTACCTGCGCCATTACTCTCCTCCCCCTCATCAGCTACGTACATTCTTATCTTTCGTCCCCCTCACTGACTCTTCTTTAGTTGGCTAGATTGTTTACGTGACACACCGTCAATTTTAGTGCATAAAAGGGGGTGCAACCAAAAAAAACACACACGCTCTCAAATGGAGTAAAGTGCTACTTCCGGTCACCTAAAATGACTCAAAATTTGACAGAAAGTAGTAAATTGGATTTTTTTTTTTTTTTTTTTTTTTTTTTTTTTTTTTTTTTTTTTGTAAAATTTCGTCTACCAGAAACAGTACTCAAGTTATAGGCTCTTGAAGAAAAATTTAAGTACAATAAGTTTCACATCCGTTTACCGGAAATCTCTGAAAAGTTGATACAGAACTACAAATTTGATTTAAAACTTATATTAGAATGTTTATCAACCTACCTAGCTTTAACGGTACTCAAGTAAACGTGTTCACAGACACTCATTCCCACAGACGAAATTGCAACAACAAAAATTGAATTGATGACGCGTAAAATGCGGAGATTTTGATAAATCTGGGTTTACAATTTCAGCTTGATTAAAATAATTCTCCCTACTCTGTATCTGATGAAGTACGGTGTTGTAAAACGGTTAAAACTGTCAAAATTTCATGTGATTTTGTTCACTATTACAATTATTTCTCTACACTCTGTGTACAAGAAAGTAAAAATTACAAAGCTTTCAATAGCCTATATAAGTATATTAGATACAGAAAAGTTAAAAGCACTGTAACGTATCAATTAAATATTAACATTTCTATTACAGTTAAACTGCATTTAAATTTCATTTCATTTAATTTTGGATTATGAATGCATCTCCAGAATAAACCGTAACTACCCCCCCTCCCCATTCGGCGTTGAGACGACAATCTGCGCATGTTGCAAACCACCACGCTCCGCTATAAACAACTGCAAAGTTTTGGTAAATGTAACCCTCATTATTGCGGTCAAAAGTTGTAAACCTCCAATTGTTGCCCACATTCTCGAAACAATTTTCAGCATTTCCTGTGTAGCCATAAACATGTAGCCTGTAGCCGTCTTAATTTCAGATTGCATTGTCTTCATGTCTTGTCTCACGTGCCAACTGTGAACCGAATCTGTCAGTTAGAAGTGTCCGAATTTTCGCTCGAGCGTTTCGACCTAGACAGACTGACGACTGACGACTGACGACTGACGACAGACAGAGGAAGTGAGTTAAATAAAAGCTTGTAAAAATAGTCTTTAAGGATGTAGTTGCTTTACTTTAAAAAACAGAACTTTAAAAAAACCCACTTAAAAACCATACTCATATAAACACCACTTGAAATGAGAACTTGTACAAGATCCGTTTCACTATATCCGTGAAAAAAGATAACTCAAGAAAGAAGCCCAATCACATTTATACATTTTAGGTAAAAGAAAAGTCATTAAAAAAAACTGTATCTTATAAGAAGCAAATACAAACGTCCCAATATCAAGTCAAGGTAAATAATCGATTTTTATTATTCCTCCAATAAAGCTGAGTGCTTTCCCTTATCCCTAGCATCTCTTACTCCAGCTGGTTATTGTATCAACTTTATTCGTCCCTACTTCAAAATTTTCTATTTCACCACTTTTGTTTTAGCCCAATGGTGCTGAAAAATACGAAGTCTGATGACTGTCATAGTGTTTTAAAGTTTCTTTATTGTTGACTCTGTACAATGTAATAACGTTTAAAGATTTTCGAATGAATTTAAACATTTAATAAATTTTTAATTGAAAAAATTATTAAAGTATTTGTCAATGGAAAATAAAAGCTTTTATTAGTAATATTACAAAGGGTAACACCATATACAAGTAAAATGTATTAAGTAATGTAAAATAGAAACATTATAGTTGTACATAT